GTACCAGTCTCAAGTGCTGTTTCAGTCAATATTCTCTCAGCTACTGTTCTTTCTGCTGGTATAAATGTTGGATCGTTTATGTACGAATATGCTCTTGGAAATAAATATCAATGGACATACTCCTCAAGTGTCGCCGGTTCAACTTATCAAGACACAGCCTATCTTGATCTAGGTGTAGTGACAAATACAGGTAGGAGAAGAAGAAGCGTCTGAAATGAAATTGTATATTTATTTTGTTTTTAAAAGGAATTTCAACAATAATAAGTAATTTTTCAAATGCAACGGATAATTTTATCGCTGTTCGAGCAACTGGCTATTTAACGGATAATCCGTCAGCAGAAACAAATTTTGCATTTACTGTGGGTTTAACTGCCACATTTGCAGGACTTAATATGACACAAACATATTCGAATGTTGTTTCAAGAAATGGAACTGAAAGACCAATCATGATTGTCAATCGTACCGACTTAACAAGTGGCACTTATCTTATGGGGTACGTTGGAAAGCTCAGAAGTGCAGAAGAAAAGCTTTTGTTTGTTTTGGAATTTAGATCAACTTATAGCGGTAAAATTCAATACAGTCATGCAAACAATTCCAATGCCGAATGTATCAATGCTCAAATAATCGTCTACTTACCAACATGGATCTCATTCAAGAGCTATAATTCAACTACGATTGGAACAAACTACACCACTGATAACAGTTCATACGTTCTATTCAATGTAATAAGAATATCTACTTCGATTATATAGACTTTGATTGTTTTTTTTCTGTAGTTGGGTACATTACTTTTCAATGATGTAGGCTCATTGACATTTTCTTTGAACATCGGCATATCGAATCAAATGGCATTGGTCTATCAACGATACAACTCACCCATAATTACAATTCCACATGAATTTCTCTGTATGAAACGAGCAAGGTAAAGTGCAAGAAAGAGTTCTTATGTACACGGGTGATCGTTTCATCTTTCAGAACAAATGTTGCATACTATCCCGCATCAACAGTATTTGCGTTTCAAGACGTTATTTCTTTATCCACATCCATGACATCAGGTAATGTGAAATTCCGTTCGTTTTCTTCTATGTAATAATGGTCCTAATTGTTAATAGCCTCGACTTATTCCAATATTCTCGGTGGATTAGATTCTTGCCAATTCAGTAGTAGCGTTCGAGGATCAGATGCTTCCTTAGTTAGATCAAGTGGTTGGCAAACAGGATATCGATCACATCAATGGATGTTATCCGGTACTACTTATATGCAAATCAGTTTTGGTAATTTAACGTTAGTCAACGGTATTCAACTGGCTGTTCCAGCAGCATTTGCACCTATTCTTTCGATTCAAATTGGCTATAGTTGGGATGGAGTTAGTTTTGCAGTAGATTCAATGGTTTATCCTGTTAATGGTAGTTCATCGTACATTGTTCCATTGGCCAGTTCACTCCTCATTCGATATCTACGTATTTATATTATTGATGTTGTACAACCAAGTGATTTACTGACGAAAACGAGCGGTTTTATTTTGAATGTAACTGGACTCGTGAATACTTCAGATACTACTGTTGCAAGTAAGATCAATTATGATAGAAGTAACAGGAAAACAGTTTTCTGTTCAGGTGTTTGTTCCTCTACGTCGAACGCACTTAATGTCCGATCAGTACTTGTTGCCCCACCATCTCAAGCAGGTCTAACTTATGCGGACGATGTCTATGTTTGTGATGAATCAACCACAAGGTAAAATCCACATGTAATTTCACCAGCTACTCATTGACATTCGTTTGTGTAGAACTTCATTCTTATGTCATGTTCTTCTCAATGGTGTTGCATCATCATCGGCTACATGGATTGGTAAGAAGTGGATCTGGTTTAATTTGAATACTTCATTTGTATTTTAGCTTTAAATACAACGGTAGCAAATATCAATTTATTTGCTTTCGATACTAGTGAGAAAACTCAATCTCTCTATGGTTACGCACAAGATGGCACTTCAGTCATTCGAAGTAATGATCGTGGTTTAACATGGGTCGTCACCGATCCAACAGAACTTTCTAATGTATAACTACCGTTTTAAGTGTAGTTTTCGAAAAAAAACAACTCATTGGTTTTGCTTTTAGGTGACAGCTCAATGTGGTGGTACAAAAGTATGTCACACCAGCAATACATATGGACTAACAGTTGGTGCACCGGGCATGACAGCAATGCAGGCTGGTGTTAATCCATGGGCAGCATCAGTTCAAGGTCTCTGGACTCAGTCATCCGGTGGAGCTCTAGTCTTCGATTGGTTCGGAAACTGATAAACACAAACGTGTCAAGAAACACACATTTGTTCTAAACAGTTTATTTCTTGATGTTGTTTCGTACTTTCATCTTCTTCTATTACTCAAATGATAATATGTTATAAAAAAAGAAACATTTATTTATTTTCTTGCTCATATATATATATATATATATGCATACGCATGCTCATTTATATTTCATTTTCCAATGAATAAAAATACATTTTTTGTTGTAAAAATCTTCTCTCTTTCATTTCCTTCGATACTTTTTGCACTGAAAAAAACCATCGGTAGTACGTTTTTAATAATAGAATTAATCAAGGGAAAAGTCGAATTCATGACGGAATAAGCAAACTCTTCGAATTGCATTCCACACTTGAGGTGAGATGAATGCAGTTAAATGCGTATTCTTCTTGCAACTAGCAAAACCTTGCGTTCTCGACATAATATGTCACTTATTGATTGATTTCTTCTTTTTTCTTACATCGATAAGATCACCAGCGAATGTGAGAAACACAATCATTTTCGCGATCAGTCAACAGAACACTTCTTTTGTCTTCTTTATGTAGATCTTCTAGATTCATATCGGAATAATGTCCTGTAAACAACAGATGGTGAATCTCATTCCATGGTGATGCTGTTGACTGAAACCTCCTTTGTTTGTTAATCGTGAGATTGTCTGCAGAAGTGACGCTATGAGATCGTTTCAAATGATGCGATATGGCCGGCGGACATTAACTTTACCAGCAAGTGACGCAGTCCAATCGATGGCACACTCGGCTGATTCAATGACACTACGACGTCGAAATTCAATGTCAGTGTGGAATAGTCTCTGTCGTCAAAATTCGTTTCAATATGAGGAAAATGAAGATGTGACAATAGACAGGTAAGGTATGTTACAATTCAATCGTATGAATTTCTTCCGTCTCTCTCTCTCTCTCGTGAGAAATCTTGCATCATATTGAAACAGTCATGAATCGTGTTAGAACGAAAGAAATTTTTACATACTTACGAATATTTATCAGTTTTTTTTATAGTTCTTCTTTTCTTTTTTACAAGGAGTTCCTTCCACCCAATAATAAATGACAATTCTCAATGTTTTCTCTTATCACTGAAATCCGGAATGAGATATTCTTTACATTTTAACTATCTGACTTTTATTTACTGTTTCAAATATCATTTACTCTTTGATCCTCTCCTTATGTAAGTGTACAATACGTACAGCATACCTCTTTGTTCGTCACGTCCTCACGTTTTTCTTTCTCCTTCGTCTACCATTGCGTTTTATCTCGAATTACGTCTGTCCTTTGATCACCATATGTGTGTATACATCATTCTTATATGAAGCGCTACAAGAAAGTTCGGAAGATTTGGTTTTTTTTCTAAGTTAGCAGCGAAAGAGAACATGTTAACTAAATAAGAAGCATGTAACAGATTTCTTTTGTCGAACAAACATTATGAAAAACTGATGTTTTCTTTTTCTTTTCTTCTAGAACATATATAACAGATAGAACTTCGATAGATTCGACATCGTCTAGTGAAAACAAACCAATGGATTCATCGAAAGTGACAACAACATTAAATAAGTAGGTATTTTGTCTGGATATTATTCTTTCTTTTCTTTTTTTATATATCAATCTTATCATCGATGAATTCTGACAACGTGTCGTTTCCCTAAAGAGATGATAATCCACTAGCACTAACAACAAGCAGACCGTGTGATGATGATTATAGCATCGTCTATGCTAAATGTGTTTAGACACCGAAACTTTTCTATTTCTCGCAACTTATCNAAGTAGGTATTTTGTCTGGATATTATTCTTTCTTTTCTTTTTTTATATATCAATCTTATCATCGATGAATTCTGACAACGTGTCGTTTCCCTAAAGAGATGATAATCCACTAGCACTAACAACAAGCAGACCGTGTGATGATGATTATAGCATCGTCTATGCTAAATGTGTTTAGACACCGAAACTTTTCTATTTCTCGCAACTTATCTCGATTGATATACCCAGAGAGAAAAGGGAAAAGACAAATCTTATCAACTTCAGTTGCTCTGATAAATAGTACGAACGTTTGTTATTTAGTCGATCTAATAATGTAAATAGAACATTCACAGGAGTTAGTTACAACTTGTAAACAACTTTGCCTGTTTATGACGATTGTTAACAATCGCGCTCATCTTTTCGACATTTGTTGTTGTGTGTTCTTTTTTTTGGATATCTCTGGAGTAGTATTCAGATGACACATAGACAAGAAAACATATAATTGCACTGATGACGAGTCGCATATAGAAGTCTAATTGAAATCAGTAAGATAAATTGATGATTAAATGGACATATCATCGTACGAAACCCGACGTCGTCTGCCGAAACGAAAAAAGTTTGTTTGGATTGCTTTCACGTTTGACTATTTGTTCTATTTTTAGGCGAACTACATTAAATGTACAACAAGCCGCACCTAACGTTGAATACATTCATGGGGCTCGTCGAACGTCATTTAATAATGGTCGACGATTGAGTTTTCAACAACAGGAAGTAACCGAATCGTCGAAGTCAAAAACGAATCTGAGAAACTTCTACGTTTTCTTCGTGTTACTTTTCCTTTTTATTTTCCTCGCTGTAGTTTATTCTTTTATTCGTATGATAAAAAATCAAAATTCATAGATAAAATAAAATATGTATGTGTATAAATGTTTCAAGTAGGCTGGCTTTCTTGTTTTCATTCGAGTGCTTGATACCAGTCCGATTCGATGACTTTATTATCTTTCGATACAAGAAAATATACAAAGTCGTGATTCCCACGCCATTCGTAAACCCAGATTTTCGTATCCTGTGGGTATCGATAGTTTTCATTGTGACGTTTGAGTTCGTGTAAGAGAACGTCATTAGGCTGATCAAGGATCTTCGTGGGTTCACCCATCAAACGTTTGATATCATCAGCAGATGTTCCTGATTGTCCTAAAGCTTTTTGTAATTCAATCATGGCTAAATGACGTTCACCTTCGAAATTATCGATGGCAGGATTATGATCTTGACCATGCCAATGACCACGCTCATTTTTCAATCGTAAATACGTCGATGAAGCAGCTTCTAATTGTTTCGATGTCATATCGCACGTTGAAAATATCGAATTGATTTCAATGCAGAGAACGATGAATAATGACAAAAGGCTAGAAGATGAAAAAGTATATGTGTGTATAGAGATTTGTTATCTTGACAGAAAGAAAGAAGAAAAAAGTGCGAATCTACTGTTTTATTACTGAGATAAAAGTAAATGTGATTCAATCACAGTCATGATCTTGAATATGAGATGATTGTTTGTTTCGAGAGAAAACTAGAATGATTATTTACCCTTTCATTATTCAAGCAAGTTTTTGTATATACAAAGCGTTAGTTCAAAGTGAACGAATATTGGAAAGCACAACTGATATCATGTGGAAATGAACGAATACAGAAACAAGAGAGACAAGGGCTAAGACGGCTAATTTTATTGGTTAGTGTTTATCTATCGGTGAATCATAACGACCTTGAGATAATGTCGCCACTGGTTTTTTTGTTACTCCTTGAAACTTTCGTGTAATGTAGCTTTCGAAGTGAATCGAAGCATCGTTTGCTAACCAGATCTGAACAAGTAGAACGCTCCCATCATTCAAATATTTGACGAGAAACACATGAAATATATAGTTGTCCATTCTCACAGACGTCGCTAGATGACGACTAGAATATTGCCTAGTGTTCTCTATTGAAGTGAATATCGATTTGTGATGAGTGGCATCCATTGTTGGGAAAGATCCTATTCGTTCGTTTCGCTTTTCTGTCTCTCTATTCAAACCAGATACTAAAATGTCAAATAAATTATTACAGGTAAAGATTTCATCTGTTTTACTCTAATATGGCCTACAAAAACTCTAACTTATCGGAAAGGAGCTGATCGAGTTTATAATGTAGACTTTAGAGCTTTATATTACCCTTCTATTTCGTCGAGATTTTGCACAGTTGCGCGCGCATCAGCTGATGAGATGCATAAAAGAACCTGCGTTACGACAGTTCTGCTCATATTTCGGCAGCGAACAGCAAGCTAAGGGTAGACTCTTCGTTTCTCGAAATAAGTCGAACATGACGTTAATGATTAACCGATTGATTTTCTACAGTTTAAAAACCGATCTTCTATGCGGCATAAGCATCTTCTCTAAGTGATCACTTGAAGTCGTGAAGGTGAAGATTATTGACGTTTTTCTTTCTTTTCATTTGAAGTGCAGAGATGTGCGAACTATTTACATTCGAGTTCTGTCTATATAGACAGGAGAGAAACAAAATCTTTCGCTTTTCTGTCATACTGCATAATATACAATAAAATTTCTTCCCCTGTTTAATGTCGTTTCAGACTTCAACGAAAAAAAAACATCTTTGATGATGAAAGTATACATTGCTTGCTTGTTTATTTTATTGAGTAAGTTATGTCTTGTTTTGTGCTGAATTATCGAATCATTGTTTTGCTTTGACGAACAAGGTAAAACGAAATTTTGCGATGCAATGACAACTGCAAGATGGCCCATATTTTCAAGTAATCAACCTGCAGATAGTTTTGATGAAGAAATATCAGCAGATCAGTCATCTCGGTTTTGCATACCGTATTTGACTTGCTCAACAGCGACGGACCGGATAATTGGCGTCGTTTTGGTTGCAGTCAGCTTCGCCGGCTTTTATATGTATTTTAGTTGTTACGAATGCCTTCAGACAAACAAAAAACTGCGTGACCAGTCGTCAAATTGTGCAAGGCGCTGACTTTGTGAAAGTCATGACGGTACTGTGGTTAGTGGTAGGCATAGTTTGATTTCGTGATACAATATTTTTATGTCATTAGTTGTTAGTAAACTCCTCTCCAGTGTTCTGCTTGTGGAAGTGTTTTTTTATTTTTGTTGTTTTAATCGAACTGGGTATAATTCGGATAGAACGTCGGAACGAGATATCGAACAGTGATTGCGTCAGCACAGAAGAAGAATAAGAAATTCTTGTCCGGTGGGTGTAAGGCGTCCTTTTTCAATAGTTTCTCTTTTTCTTTCGTGTCAATCAAATTGTTTTTTTTCTCGATGTACACTGGCACATATTTTTCTTCTCGGTTTTCTCTCTCTCTTTTCTCGTTCGCTTATAAATCTCGTCATTGGACATATGTCATTCATTGATCTTTAAAAAAGCAAAAATATAGACATATACACTTCGACGCACTATCAGAAGAGGGTATGATTTGCCTACTACTAATACTACTACTGCGAAAAGAAACGATATGAGATCGTAAACGGAATAGACTTCATCCTGATTGTTTATGTATATTTATGACACTTTTATTATTCCGTGTGACAAAAAAACATAATCTTACTAACTTTTATCCCTTTCTCTTCTGTCTTGCAATCGTATTTATCATGCCTTCGACGTCCAAAGACATTCATCTTCTGACTTATATAAATAATAGGCGTCAGTTGTATTCATCACACGTCGGCATAGAACATCGATCTATGTTCTATGATTCATCCATGCGTTAGCCGATCGTTGTATTGCGAAGAGTAGGAACAAATCCACAACCTCTTTCATTTGTTTTTAGATAAAGAAGCAACTAGCTCGTGCGAACGTCTCTTATTATTGATATTTGGCGATGGGTGGCATAAATAGTTGCTTTCCAACATCAGGTGAAACGAGTTCGATATCCAGTCGTCCTCATCAACATCGTCGTCGATATTTTCTGCCCAGACCAAAGTTCGATCAATCACAAGCAGTTCTTCCAATCAATGTAAATAATAATAATAATAATAACAATTCAATCAATCTGAATACAGCAACGGAAGATGAATTATTATTGCTACCGGGTATAACTCGTCGAATCGCGCAAGATATTCTTCGATATCGTCAGTTAAATCATGGTTTTAAGCGTGTCAACGAACTTCTATATATCAATGGAGTTCATCCTGACCTCTTCGATCGCATTCGACCTGATATTACCATCGACTGTCTATCGCAACAAATCTACGATAATAAACATGATCTAATTAATCTAAACACGGCCACTTACAACCAATTGTTGACTATTCCTGGTCTAACACCAATTCTAATCAAGCGAATTCTCCAGCGACGTGAACGAAAGGGCCCATTTCGTTTCATCGAAGACCTACTAAACATCAAAGGAATTGACTATGTCATTCTAGCAAGTATTCGTGCTTATGTTACCGTCGAATATCGACGCTTACCAACATCGGTCAGTGAATCCTCAATACTCGATCCATCTGTTCATAATCTCTACCCATCATTGAATAGAAATAATAATACAACATCTGATTCGCTTTCTATGGCATCATTGTTATTAGAAACCTTACCACCGGAGTTACAAACAATACTTCTTACATTAAATCCTCAACGACCTTCGTCGGTCTATGAAAGCAAACAAACCATTTTACGTTTTGCTTCTTGGAATTTACAACAATTAACTAATGAAAAAGTGCAAAATCCAGGTGTAAGAGAAGTTATTTGTCGAACTATACTCGAGCATAAGTAAGAACACGAATATCCTTTCTCTTCCGTCAACGATTTTCCTTCTTAGTTTTTCAATTATTGGTATCCAAGAAATAGGAAGTCGGGAAGCACTCGGATATATAGTTGAAGAATTGAATAATCCAACGATACCGTTGATTAAAGATTGGCCACATCGTCATAGTGGTCAATGGAAATACACAGTTAGTGACGTCTCTGGTCGAATGTTCCAGGTAAGACCAACCTATGAAAAGCAGCGAAAAAACAAGTGTGTTTTGCATTGTTTAGAGTAGTGAATATCTCGGTTTTATCTATGATGAATCAATTGGTATTGAATTGAGAAAATCATCATTATTACCAATAAAGAATTATTTTACACGTTTACCTTTTATTGTTATCTTTCGTATCTATGACAAATATGAATTTGTTTTCGTTAATGTCCATTTGAAAGCACGACGACTGGATGAAAACGAAAACGAGCGAACGAAAGATGAAGCTTTATCGTTGTCGATTTTAGCGGAAGCGATGAATGATACTATTGGTAAGTTGCCAATCTGCTAAAATAACCATCGAATCTTCCCCATTTAGAACAAAAGCATACAATCATTTTTGGCGACTTTAACATCGCACCAACTGCATCAGAATTTGCTGCATTAGTCCAACGAAACTATTCGTATGTTATTCAAGAGAATACAAACATCAGTTTGAAAACACCACAAGGTTCAACATGTGTAGATAACATTTGGCTTTCCACTGAAGTCAAAGCATTGAGTACAGGTAAAGTTCGTCGATAGTAAATTTCCAGAAACGACATTTTTTGTCTTTTAAGATAAATCGGGTGTAATTCGAGAGAATTTGACAAGTATGTGGATACCTGCTGGTTGGACCTGGGGTGGTCTAGTCAGTGATCATTGTCCCATTTGGACTGAATTTGATCTTGCCCAAGATAATGATGGACATTCGCGTTGATGTGCAATCGAATTCTTATACATTTTTTTGTTAATATCTCTGGGTTTGCTTGATATTGTTTATTTTGTAAAGCAATACTTTTTGGTTTTAATCTATAAATCAGAATCTTTTTATAAGAAAAATATTTGTTACCTGTACTACTTTAGATTTCTTTTCGATAGAAACAATGACTAATCAGATACCGGTGAGTATCGCAATGAAAACGGTTTTTGAAGAGATGAATTGCGGTGAAAGTTATTAGGTTTTATATACAGAACAAAAGACGAAGAAAGTGAAACTATGGTTAGATGGATATTTAGTTCCACGTCCGACTTTGAACTCGGTATGACTAGAAATGTGTTGGGTAGGTGGTTGAATGAGATATTTTAGGCTCGGTTGATATCGGCGGGTAAACATGAAATTGATGTGGTATTTTATTCAAGTATTGACGATGTAAGTAGTGTCGAATTGTGACTTCTGTTATCCTTTCTCTTCTGGGCGAAAGATTCAACCGGGAAGAGAATTCGAAACTGAACGATATCTTATCAGTGTTGAAGAGAGCAATCTTAATGATCAGCCATGCCCTCGGCCGAGTTATGCTGTCAACGATCCAACGACAAAAAACAGACCAAAGTCAGCAGTAAGTATTCGAAAGTTCGTGAAAAAATCTTTCATTTACTGGATCAATTTAGGGATTCGTTCCGCCGCGTTTAGTACCGAAGCCTGAGCCACCACCTCCTCCTCTTCCTTCTACTATGTCCTCATTAGAACGACATAATCCAAATCAATGGGGATATGCGGGAATGACCACAGCCATGAAACGCACTGCTTATGATGATGACAATGAAAACCATGAAAATCATATAACAAAAATATCGAAATCATCCCATTTTATCCCACCGACATTTCAGAAACGTGAACCTATACCATCTGAGAGACCAATCGAACCATTAATACCTTTACCAAATCCACAGATTCAACCGGGATTAATAAATGACTCTCTCATGTCTCGCTTATTGAACAATCCTCGACCTCAAGAAACGTAAGACATCGATTGAATCTTTACTCAACAACAAAGAATCATTATTCTTCTTTCAAGTAAACTCTCGCCTATCAAACAGTTTCCATCTATGTCTTGGTCAGCTTGGGACGAAAAAAAATCTGACGACGAAGACACAGATTCTCATCCAAACAAGCCAGATGACAATAACCTTCCTGACTTAACTTCAGCAAAACAAATGTACAATTGGCAAAGTCTAGTCACATCCGCAGGACAATTACGACAAGCAAATAGTAAAACAGATACATCAGAAATCATGCCTAAATTCGACTTTGATGATAGTTCTTTTGATGCTATATTTGATAATCTGGAAAGCTAAACACATGTCTGATATACGTTCATATATATATTTTATTTTTCTGTTAAATAAAAAAAGTATTCTTGGTTGAAATCCTTGAAAATTTCTAACGGCGAAATTGAACAAGGTATCGAAGAGCAACTTGGGCTTCATCATAAACAATATACTCATTGTAATTGAGACCGTAGTAACCTTGTGACGCTTGCTTGTTTGGAATCAATCGCCCAAGTGGGATTTGTACACCTAGGGTGACGCAAACAAATATGATTCGCAGAAAGGAAAAGAAACTTTTGCACGTACCATCGTCACGGACAATTGTATGCTTAGGATCAGGTATATTTCGACCGACACCTTTTCGACTTTGATATTTTTTTAGATCTAATCTAACATCATTAACATCATCATCATCTTCTTCTTCTTCCTCTTCGTCTTCCTCTTCTTCTTCTTCCTTTTCTTCTTCATCTTCCTCATTTTCATCTTCATCCTCGTTATTACTTTGAATTTTCTGTATACCAACTTCCTTCATATTTCCCAACGCAACTTCACACAGGAGCATAAAACATCGTTCTTGATCTTTGTCCTTAACACCCGAACAATAGCCAAGACTTTTCGCAAACACATCTGCTGTATATATTCCCTACAAAGCACATTCAATTCATCACAACTCATTCTTGTTTTCAAAATTCTTTTCACTCTTACCGTTCCGAATAAACTTCCAGTTGCCGTTGCAACCAATGGTCCAACAAGAAGGCCTAAATAGAGAGCGTAATTTACACGCAATTCCATATCGCTGAAATTACCTCGCGAGAGTATGCTGATTAAATTGCAGATATTGGTTCCATGCCATAGTAAAAAGTGATTGTTAACGTTCCGTTTTCTCAATCGCTCATCCTCTTTCGGTCGGGCAATTTTGAAAATCTGTTCGACATCGATTTGTGGTGAACTCGCCCAAATATATCTCAAAATCAACTGTGAATCTTGATCGTTTTGATTCATCGTTTCGAATTGACAGTTTATCGATTTGTACAGATAATCTAACGGAGAGATCGATTTCAAATTCGCTTGTGCTCCTAAAAGAATCTTATAGGTTAATTCCAGATCGAACAGATCGTCGAGCATTTTTTCTTGTTGTTTTAATTGCTGTTCGTCATTAAGTATGGGTAATTTTTCATCGGAGTAACCATTTAAAGGAACTAATGTATAGTATTCATTTGTATACTGATAGATTGCTTCGAGAATCTGTTGTAATTCGTGTTTCTGATCGGCTGTTTTGTTAGTTGGATTGTCTTTGTTGAGTTTCTCTTGTTCATCGAGTTTTTCCTTGATTTTGATTAGTAAATCTCGTGCTCTTTCCAGTGCTTCACGCTTCAATTGTGAAACAGGCATCCATTCCACATCGAGTTGAGTTTTGTGAAGATTAGTTCGCATTGCTTCGCGGCTGATCAATGTTCGCATTAGCGTTTCGTGCGCAGATGATTGAATTTTCGTCGGTGGATGTTGATTTTCTGCTTGTAAACGATGAAAATCAATTTGAACAGTCGAATGTTTCTTTATTTCTCGGTCACTCAATTTGACCAAGGTATATTTCTTTGCTTTTGGCACGAACTGGTCCGTATCCTTCCATGCATTGCCGGTCTTTTCTCGGAACACTTTCAAAAATTCCTTTCGACATTCATCCAAGGTGGAAAATGGCGTCAGCTGATGTTGACCTTCTGCATCACCGATTCGTCCCCAATGTGTAAACAAGAAATACAAATTCGATTTACTCTTGTGTACGATGATTTGCATACGGTAGAAATTGTACAGACCGTATCGACCGTAATTAACATCGATTTTGGTCAGACGAACATCGTACGGTTCGTTTTTATCGGCATCTATGAGAACTGTACCAATTAAGCTCATTCCCGATGCACGATCGACTTGATATGCAGCATTATGTGTACTTGCGGTATGTGTGGAAATGTAATCGTCGATTAATTTTTGAGCATCACGGTAAAAATCGGGCTTATCACCGAGAAGATTTTTGTTTGGATCAACGACTGTAAATGTGTTTGCTAACGATCGGATAGAGGCTGGTTTATTGTGAACTAGTTTTGATAGCTCTTCGTATAAATGTTGGTAATGGTTTTGTGTACTGTATTGTAATGGGGTGAGACCTGAACGATCTGCGACGGTTAACGTAGCACCGCAGGAATGAAGTAAACGAAGAATTTCCAAGTTATTTCGATAGGAACCACGAGTGAACGGTTGAATTAGATGATGAATACAGCTGCGACCATTTTTATCGAGGGCGTTTAAATCAATTTTTGATGTCATTTGAAATTCTTTGGATTTTTTATTCGCTGACGCTTTATCGGAATGATTTGTGGCACGATGTATCTTCGCACCAAAATGGAAGTTAAGTCGTCTGGGTTTTGGAGCAAATGCTTTTCGACGCGTTCTAACAACTCGTTCATTAGATGACTCGGTAGTTTCGATTGAGTGGGTTTTATTCAAAAGAAGTTTCACTAGGTCGATATCATTCTAAAGCAAAGCACATGAAATTCCGGAGATTCGTCGAATAATCAATCATTATTTACCTTTCGAACAGCATGCATCAAAGGTGTTTGTTTATCTTCATCTGCGAAGTTCACATCCGCATTCAATTCTAACAGAAATTTGACTAATTCAAAATTATTATGAACAATGGCATGAATCAGTGGTGAGGTTCGCATTTGGCTTGTTCTTATCGGTGGATATGCCGATTCGTTGTTTTCTGAAGGCACATGACCGAACGATAGAGGATTTCTTGCGATTTCATTATCATAATTACATAAACAATCCAATTGTTTCCCGGATTTAATCAATCCTTGAAGTTCATCTTTTGTCAATGTTGTTTTTTCTCTTATTGACCAGAATAACAAGCCACTTGCTGTATTATTAAATCCATCGGTTTGTTGAAGGTTAAAAGCACGTGGAAAATGTTCGCGTAAACAATTCAAAACGATAAAATTTTGTTGAACACATGCGTAATGTAACGGATACGAACCATGTATATCCGGTGTGTTCCAATTGAATTTGTATTCAATGAGCGCAGCGAGAATTTGTTTGAGAAGATACTCATTGGATGGTTTTGTGTTCGCAATCAAATGAAAGAGATTTTGTTTCGATGAATTCAATGTGGGAGAGTATTTTTCATCTTTCAAACGTAAGAGAAGACGAAGAACAAGATTCAATTTGTCATTCGCTATTGCGGTTTCAATGATTTGGATGTATGTTAAGTGAAAACGAGAGATATCGTTTAGAACCAATGATAATGCGCCTTGCCAATCACTTTGAATGATTAAGTACATCAATGAATATGATTTGTATTCTTCATTCTTGCCAATTTGACTATATTGCCATTTCCAAATCGAAGAGTTCTCTTTTGATTTTCGTTCTCGATGGGTTACTGGTTTGACAACGGTTCCGAGTGAAGAACTCGGTTTTTCTTCATTTGTATCTGGTTTCTCCACATGTACCTTGTGCATTGTACTTAAATCGATATCCATTGATTGTTGAAGAAACGTAATAAACAGATTCAGATGTTCTGATGCAATACAAGTACCGATGATCGAATTAGAAAGATTGTTTTTAATCAATAAACTAGCCTGATGTTCTTGTAGAAGCATGACACATACTGTCGAACATTTTTCCTAAGATAAATAAATCGAGTCAACAGTTGCTAATAAATTTAGAATGACTTACGACTGCTAAATGCAACGGCGTATTTCCTTCGTTGTTTTTCGTATCGATTCCTTTGGATTTCATGGCTTTGAGGAGGAGAACGCATAGTTCAACAGGATCGTCGCCGATATCTTTATTCAAGAATACATTATGCAATGGAATGTTTCCCAGATCATCTTTGAGCATCAAATCACTTCCATTTTCAATCAATATCTTTTCAATATTTGTGATCGCATCAATTGTACCTAGATTATAGTACACAGCAATGTGTAACGGCGTACGTTGGTGTTTTCCAGGAATATTCATTGCATTTTTCGTGCTCTCTGTCAATCGTTTGACGAATAAGTTCAACAGTTCAATGTAATCATTGATACGATTTGATGTTCGTAAATAGTAATGAAATGCTTGATTATTATTCGAATCGCTTGATAAAATCTGACATTTGTTATGCTCGAGCAAGCTTCGAATAGTCGGCGATAATTGCAAACGACATGCTGATATTAAGGGTGTTTGCTGTTGTTCACGGGAATATTTCGACGCAGCGAGATTAACATCACATGATGGATGTTTGATTAACATTTGTGCAGTTTGGACTTCTCGAAGATGAATGGCTTCGAGCAACGGTGTGCGATGAGTTTCATGGTGTAGAACATTGACTTTGTTGGATTTTTTCAGAAAAGTTTCCAGAGGATGTGTTATGCTTTGATCAATGAATCGAACAGTACGAAGTAATGAAAATATACTTGTTTCTTTTAGTTTCACATCCGATGATTCATCCTCAACATCTGTTTCTTTTTCCGTTTGATCTTCATCTGCGTTTTCCTCGTTACTACTACTGGAACTTTCGTTATGATCTTCCTCGTTTTCTTCTGCAGGCTCATCCACATTGTCATCATCGTCTTCAATGTTTTCTTCGTTGTCGGATTTTTTCACTTGATCAATTGATTTGACTCCAGCATCGGGATCACATTCAGCAGATTGTAAACAGTATTCGATCATTCGAACAATAGATTGATAACGTTTCTCTAGCTTTTCGGTACCTTTTGAAAGCTAACAAATCATAATTAAGTGTTTTGTTAATACTCATTTTCATCTGAACTCACTTTGAATTTGCTACAGAATCGATCAAATATCGACGCACAATAATGCAATGGTGTTCGACCATTATTATCATAGATTTGACCCATTTTTCTCACTTCATCTGTCACTGGCTACAATGGAATCCGGATGAATTCGTATGAAAATCAATCGTTTACTAACCAATTTCAATAAAACTTGCATGAGATCGAATCTTGCGCATTTTTGAGCGAAATAGTGTAAAAGTGTTTTGCCATTATAACTAGTGTCAGCATTGATCGATACTTTTGCTTTGTCAATCAAATAATTCACAAGAATGAAGTTTCCCGTTTCAAGAGCAATCATCAACGGTGATTGTAATTTGGAGTTTAATTTATCCGGTTCACAATTATGATCAAGAAGGATTTGTGCGACTTTGAAATAGTTCTCATGTAGAGTTTTCTTCGAAGCTTCATCCTACAAAAATTTTCAATTAGAAACTCGTCGCTCTTTTCACTAGATTTCACTTACGAGATAGGTACTATTCTGATTACATAAATTACCAGCCAAGTAATGAAACTAAACCGAGAACAGGAATAAGTGAGAAAAGGTCAACGGCAAAGAATAAACTTACGGCATTGCTACCATTCGTGTCCACAATTGTACAATCTGCTTTATGTTTTTCAACTACATATTCCAGTTGCTCCACAATCGAAGTGGATATTTCTTGGCTAACAGTTAACATAACTAACGATAAGCCATCATCCGTTGTAAAATTGATGTCAGCATTGTGCTCAGTAAGAAGATAGTCACAAAGACCATAATGACCTTTGAGAAAACCGATGGCTAAACATGTCGTTTGCCAACAATTTATGCAGTTCAAATTAGCTCCTGCTTCGAGTAACACTTTCACACAGAAATACCAACCGTAAGCAATGGCGTAATGTAAAGCAGTATTCATCGATGAATCGAAAACATTAGGATCTGCGCCGATATGTAATAGATACGAAACAACGTTTGCGTTTCCACACATACATGCGTGAATAAGCGGCGTTCGTTGAAAACGATCACGCGCTTCAACTACTGCACCTTTGCTAATCAGATACTGAACGATTTCTAAGTAACCTTTCTGACAGGCGAGCATCAATGGTGTAATCTTTTGTGCTGCACTAGTTATAACATTGATAGGAGCGTCATAATCAAGAAGAGTCTTGGCACAATCCTAAGAGAAAGGAATTTGTGATCCGGATAGGTTTAATAGTAGTGTACATACCAGATGATTGTTGAGCACGGCTAAGTGTAATGGATAGAATCGCGATTTGTTCATTCGATTAATACATGCTAAACCAAATTTCTCTTGAACTTCATTTTCATCTTCATTCCCTTCGGATTTTTCCTTGGCAGTGCGAAGTAAAAGTTCGACGTTATGTGCGCGACCATGCATAGCTGCAATGTGTAAGGGAGAGTTTCCTCCACGGTCAACATCATTCATATTGACGTGTCTAGAAAGAAGCAAGTCAGATTTGAACTTTGAAATTCAAGTGTGTTACTTTGATAAAAGGAATTCAAGTGGTTCCGAACTTTCGCATGCTGCAGCAAAATGAATTGGTCGTCGATCGTATCTATCGAGAATATTGTATTCTGGCATCGCATTCAATAATTGCTTCAAATATTTGCTATTTGGATTGATTGCTGCGCAATGTATCGGTGTAATCTAAAGAAAAAGCAATTTGTATCCGAGCAAATCATTAAATGTAAACGCACCATTGAATTTTCTCGAGTTTTCTTTACAACACTGGCTACTCGATTGATGGTAATATCTTCATTATCATAGAGTAGAACCTTAATAGAACAGAGTCTTGTCGACTGCATGAAAGATGATTGCTCAGAAACAAACTTGATGATGGAGAGCATTGAAACCATGAAATGTGTTCTCTTTAACATCACCAACAATACTTGCAGCTAATTTACGGTGACCAGCGACGATAATTTTGTAGATATTGTCGTAAATACTCTCTAAACGTAACTGGGAAAAGCGATATTCTGAATAAATATTCAAAAAGGTAATCCAGAAGAAATCTTACTGAATCTTTGTGCGTTTTGATTAGAAAATCGTACATTTCACGTGAGCAGTTGTTTTGTAAAGCAAAAGAGACGAGTTCTCTAACGTTATGAAACGATTCTGCCGACATAGAATCCTAGACAAAGAAGAAATCATCGGCGATTTCTCCATCGAATTCGAAATTTAGTTACTTTATTCAATGCATCATTGCCTTCTTTAGCTCCGCGACTTGCCATTAATTTCATCGTACGAAAGCCAAATGCGTGAGTATTGACACTAGAAGTATCAGATCCGTTTTACGATGGAGATGACATCATATTTATCATTACTTTCCAGTACTTTGTCGAACCATTGAAATCGTTGGAAATGGACATCGAGTTTTTTTCGGTGATTTGATATCATCAAGTAAGATTTTTACTAGTTCGATATTATTACTCTTGATTGCGTAATGGACAGCCGTTAAATCAGTAAAAAGACTTCGATGTACATGAACCTAGTCAAATCAATGGAAAAGTTTCTAGAGATTCTCTTCGACTAATCCGTCTTCTTACTGAACAAACGTGATTGGTATCATTAATCAGACTTTTTAATAATTTTGCATCATTTAAGTTAACAGCACGAATGGCTAATTTGCTTTGAACATACGATGAAATGAAAGGAACAGGTAGACTATAAAAATCGAATATGTCTTCTGATTTAAAAGCAAATGTTCTGGATTACTTGTCTTCAAAGAACGGTTCTGCTTTGAAAACCGTTACTGTTGGGTTTTTCGTCAATGAGCTGTTACTATGAACTTTGAATAATTGCACTTTTGGCGTACGTGCAGGTTTTGTTTCTAAATGAAAAGAAAACATTTGTACGTTGATCGAGCTTTTCTCGCGAGAGCATTTATACTTTTCTTGATTGTTGATGTATCCATTTCATCATCATGTTCTTCGTCGTCGTCGTCGTCGGGAACGTTTTTCTTTCGTCGTGGTTTTCGCTTTGCTATTGAGGATTAATTCCTTTCAATGGAAGATTCAAACAAAGAGTGAACTTACTTGTTGTGTCATCTGACCCATCTGATGTCTTTCGTGTTCGTTTTTTCGGTGGTTGTTTTCGAGATTTCTTGTTGGCTGATCCGAGTTTACGTTTTTTACTTACTGGAACCTCTGTTTTCGATGCTTCTGAAGAAGAAGAAGAACTGTTTTGATCTTCGTCTGAATTGAAACGAATATGTTTAGTGGCCTTCTTGGATTTAGGTGGAGGTGGATGTTCAGTCGATAAATCCATCATATCATCTGAGGAAAGCGATTCACCACGAATGGATTTTTGTAATAAACGACTACTATCAACGATATCTTGTTTTTTCAATGAAAAGACGCCACCTGAATGTTCAATCACAGAAGATACACCAAGTAGAATCGCTGCTGGATCAAGAGTATCCGTGTAACTGAGTTTAAATTGTGTTTTAGTACTGATTTTCGTATTATCACCATCTTCCCCAATGACTGAACACCAACGGATTGGAATTTTCTTAGTATTTTCATAAACATTCTTCAAGATTTGGCATAAATAAAATGTATTTGTTGCACCTCGGCACGTAACAAACGAGTGTTTTTCGTAAAGAACATCATTGTCATCATCAGATGACGATACTGAGGCCGTACTCCCAGATTCTTCGGACAATGTTGATGTTGAAGAAGTGTCATCTGATGAAGAATCTTCATCAGTATGCTTACTGTTCACCACTCGCTTCGATAAAGTATCCTGAAAACGATCATAGTTTCGATGGTTAAGCTAAACAACCAAATTGATTCACTTACCGCCCAATATTTGCCATTGAGACCCTTTCTGTTCTGATCTGGCTGAACCGATTCCTGCAAAAAAAAACAAAATTTATCATTGTTTATATCATTCATTTCATTTCTTATCATTACTCGTTGGCTCGTCTTTGTCATGCTCGACACTTTCTTTTTCATAGATGGCTTCATTAGCCCATTCTTCATTTGTGCTTCACCGCTTGCGTTGCGTTTTGTTGTCGATTTCTATAGGAAAGAAAACAAACCATAGATACCATGTATTCGAAACAACAAAAATAATGAAGTTTAACAAGGTCACTAACCAATTTCTTTTTATTTGCCAAAACATTCCCGTCTGATTCATCTGATGAAGTATAATCCATCTTGCTCGGGTAGGTCAGTTCAAAACTAAACGTTTTTTTCTTGTTACTTCAAAGAGCTCCGAAGAAAAATAGTGCAAGTTAGAGGAAAAACATTATTTTTATATACACAACAGATGTCATTTCATACTGATGGTGCAATAACTTTATTTTGTGGTTTTACAATTCTTTCAAGGTGAAAGTCACCGCATGCGTGTCGGCAACGTTCTCTGACAAATATTTCCTGTTTCTCTTGAAAGATAAAATATTGTTCTGTATGATATGAAACATCTCAATTAATTGAATTCAACCATTTCGAGTTGTTTTCTTTGATGAGTTTACGTTTGATCAATGATCATGGCATCAAACAATATGAAAGAAAATCGATCCAAACTAATATTGCAATAAATCGCATTTGGTCAGTAGTAGCAGACACATTAGTAATCTCTCACTTGGTCAGTCTCTCTCGAATGTGACACTAATTGACTCAACTGTGCACATAAATCAGTCGATTGTGTGATATAGAAAGCGAATAGAGACTTGTCATTCAAGTGTTAGAAATACTCATACAAACTCCCATGAACAAAGCGAAAGAGGGAGAGAGAGAGAGAATAGGAGAAAATTATACAGTTTCTCTTCTCTTCATATTGGATGAACAACCAATCACTATTGACTTCTCTTATTCGTTCTCTCTTTTTCTTCTCTAAGCATTGATATTCTCATCGACATCATCAACACCTTCATTTCGATATACGCAACAATAAGCAGAAGAATCGCTTCTCCTTGTTAGTTCATTTTCTGCTCGTCAATCTTATCCTCGAACCAGATCTTATCAAGTCAATGAGAAGATTGACAACAATATATTAGACATAAATCATTCACAACGATGTTTTCTTACTGACATATCCCATTTAATCTCAACGATGAAGAATCTCTCCTTGTTATTTTTCGTTATTTTCATCCATTCATCTCAACAATGGCTGTAAGTATTCTCATTGATCTCGTTACTTCTCGTCTTTCACTTTTCAAATGTCAATATTCGATCTGATACGGATCATTAATTTCTCACATGTCATTTGTTCTGCAAGAAGATCAACATGACGTAATGAACGTCACAAAAGACAACAGTCAATACAAAAACTCATCAGTATGCATTTCGACATGCACATAACTGCTGATACATTTGAAATGAAAAAGAAGAATAGGAAACATTCAGGCACGTTCGTAAGACATCTATCAAAAGGAAAAGATCAATGATCTCTCTTTCTCTCCATGTGGGTAAAACAAACATTTAAACAGCATGTGGNGATATTTTCTCTACAAAATTATGTTCAGCCATTTTCTTTATCATATGCAAATCACTGCACATGGTGTCATTCTTTTTTTTTTCTTCTTGGATAACATCACGTCTATTGATTTAATCAATTTCATCACACGTTTGTTAATCTGTAGAAAAGAGTTTGTTTACATTTTACTTCTACACATTTGAATTCAAATGATCTTATTCGTTATCTGATCATTCTCTCTGCACGATGATGCAATTGTGAGAAGAGACGTGCGATGTATTCTTTTATTAAACATATACTTCTCACATCGGTGGAAATCAGCCATGTTCAAGTGCATGCTGTGATTTTATTTCATATTCAATTCTGTAAATGTCAACATTGATCGGTATGACGATGCTACATATGACAAAACGATTGACCTGAAGGGGATCATTAATATTTCCGAACAACTGTTGGTCAATTATGCATGTAATTGTACGAAGATATGTTCTTTTTATGTAAGAACAACCAACTGCTTTTGTTTCCTATGACAAGGAAAGTATTCATCATTCTGTTGATAAGAAAACGCTTGAATTGTAAGAGACAATGAATAGATTCTTATACTATCAAATATGGATATCAAATACAAGCAAAAGAAACAAAGCAGAGAGAAAAAGTTCAAAGCATTAAACGTTGTTTTCAGCAGGTCGAATTGCTATGAGTTCAGGTTCGGCGGATGCTTTTGGAATAAGTTGCCTTTTTGCAATGGGCAGTTTCCCATTTGTCTTTCGTATTCGTGCTCTTCGCTTCGCTGGCCGTTGTTTCAGACGTTTTCCTCTTCGCATAATACGAATATTTGTAAGATCGTTCATTTCAATTGGAGCATCACCGAATCCAAGTAAAAGAACTGAATTTTCCAAGATTTCCGAAGTGACACGTGGTGCTTTCTCCAACAAAAGTTTTCGCTGTTGTTTACGCATGACATACGTATGAATGTCACTTGCAACAACTAAACAAGCGATGGCACTAATTAATAATATTGCAATGATACCAAACGATCGAGTTGCTGCTTGGAGAATAACTGTTTGTATGCGTTTTCGTTCACATGCGGCACCGTAGAATCCATCGAAACACGAGCATTTGTGTGATTCAATATCATCTATGCATATACCATGATTTGAACACGTCACTCCAACGCAATTATCAACATATTGGTCACAAAATGTTCCATAGAAATCTGCAGCGCAAAGACATTTTTCAACCGATTTATTGAACCGATCATAAATCTGTAGAAGAGTTCCACCGTTTAAACAGTATCCTAATGGATATTGAGAGATTTCACAATGTTCACCAGTTGTATGCGATGGGCAATTGCATTTATAACTAATCTGTCCTATTTTGATCGAAGAGTAAGATGTATCATTGAAATCTGGCATGAGAGCTATACATGTGCCACCATTAGAACATGGATTATCTCGTTCACATATATCGAAAAATAAGGCTAATGGTTGATCACGATCACAGGATTGTTGAGGCATGTGTACTCGAGTGAAAACTGGCCCGATGTGAATAGGTGTACGATTACCGTAACGAATTGTTCCTAAATAGAATCGGAATTGAGAAAGTAGAGAGAAGGAGAAATTGTATTTACCATTTTTCGAAAGATTCAAATTGATCGCTAGACTACTTTTATTCGAACAAAAGTTATCATCGAGTTGCAGTTCTGCTGTTGCCGTATCGACTCGCTGCACATGCAGATTGACGTTGTCCGTTTGACGTAGAGTCAAACGAAATTGTTCACTTGTTACGTGACCAATAGTAACATCGGATAAATGTTGAATTCGACGGTTTGGTTCGGTTTCATTGTCAGTATTATTCATTGTTAAAGAGAATTGTTTTGCTTGAACACGGTCTGCTTGAAAATGAACTGATTTGCCGACAATATTCGTCGAAAAACGTTCGGCTTCGATTTTTGTAAATGTCAAGTTGGTTTGACTTGTAGAGTTCGGTAAGGGTAGTGCAATGTCAAGTATGAAACTGTCATTGGATTGAACGGAAAGATTCCACGAAGATGAAGGATGATCAATTAGATCAAAATACACTGATTTGTCAACGGATGAGTTTGATGATGTGGAAATATTGTGAAACAGTTCATTGAGAAGTTCATTTGATAGGAATGAATTAGGATCGTTTCCATTTGATGGTGGTTTGACAATTATCGTTTGCTGTTGATTGAAGGGATCGAGTTGGGCATACCATAATGATGTTGGCGTCACAGTTGTTGAAAGATGACCTAAAAAGTAAATCGAATTAAGATGACATTCGAAGAAGTCTATTTGATATACTCGAAGTTCTGGTTGATTCATCTGGAGATATGGTTGTTGTAGTGGTGAGAATAGGAGACATCGTAGTGCTTGGTGTTGATTGAGTTTGCCACCGGATAATCTTTTGTTTTCGACTACGAAATCTACGGTTTGTGGTGGTAAATCCTTGTTGTAGGTCAAAATTTGGTGGAGTGTACGTTGATGACGTTCTTCGCGCATCAAAATAAGGAAAAAGTGTCGACATCGAGTCAGAAGCAGATCGGTCAGAAGTGAAACCATGACGATATCTATCAGTCAACCACGAGAAAGGTGTTGGTGAGGACGGATAGTAACTATACGGCTTCGAACTTTCTCTTTGAGAACTAGTAGGAATCAAATATGGCGGAGTTCTATCATCTACTACTGGCTGCGTAGAATAGAAGGAACTCGATGTTGAGAAAGAAGTGGTGGACATCTCTCCTTGATCCAAGTGTGACGATCTGGTATAAGTCTGTGATGTTCTGGAAGTATCGTAGTCCGATTTCTTTTGTGATGTTAGTTTCTGAGTTGAAGGAGATAACATGGAAGCAAGGGTTGATTTGAAATATAGTTGATCCTGTCCTGATGAAGATATATCCGATTGTGTGATTGTTGGTGTTTGTCTAGGTACATCGGATGTTATGAATGTACCCGTCTTTCGTGTTGATAATAGTGCATACGAGGATTGAAATGCATCGGTAACTTGTGATGAATCAGTTGTACCATAAAATACTTGGCTGGTCGTTGAAACAATGGAACTTCTCTCCCGAGATGGTGAAGTGCTTATGATAGTGGTAGTGGTAGTAGTAGAAGTTGTGGTTGTGGTTGTTTTATCTATGTCTGAAAGAGATTTTGATGTTTTAGTGCTCGAATAATCTGAGAAACGAAAAAATGACGACCATAAGTGCGGGTGCTCCAAAGGGGAAAGGGTTGTGTTCGATGCATTGAACGTGCTTTTACTTAACGTTGAATATTTATTTAAAAACGATTGCATTCTCGTTTCATCGCTTTTCGATAGATTTAATTGGCCTTGCAGATAAGCTCGTATGTTGTCTATGGAAAAGAGTGCTTTGTCGACATCACTGGGAATATTCGTATTGTTTAAGTACGCCAATAAATTCTTCAAGAACAACTCCAATTTTACTTCATCTGATCTTGACGTGTCGTGCGATGGCTTTGTATCATTCGAGAAAATACTTCGATTAGATGCTCTTTGTGCAGCTAAATAAACTTGAATTTGTGCGATTTGAGCTGAAGATAAATTTCCGCGTCTCTGTAAGTATAATTGCAAGTCATCAAGAGTAAATAAAATGCCATCTGAGCCAATTGTTCGATTTAGATACTCCAAATCCAATGGTAGTAACTGTTGCGTATGATCTTCATTTCCGTTATTCGTTACTAGTTTTCCATCCATGCCAGGTATGAAAAGCCCGCCTGGTACTTTTGTTTTTCTCATATAGTTCGAAAACATAGTTTGATCTGATAAAGGCTGTTTGGATAAATACATCTGAAATTGAGCTTCCTCAGTTGCTGATAGGTTTCTTTTGCCTTCTAGATAAGATTGTAGATCGTCTTTCGCAATCAGTGCTTCTTCTAAACCGGTAGATAAATTGTAAAATTTTGAGTCAACCAATGGTATTTTCTTTAATAACGCTTCGAGTTCATTTTCCTCGGTAAGCTGCTCGTCTGGTGATTTGCCAGTCCGCGAGGTGACTGCTGCTGATGGCCGAGTGGTTGTTGAAAACAACAATGGTATACTTTGATTTGCTGCTGCTTGCTTAGCCAGGTAAGCTTGGATTTGTGCGATTTTCGCTGGTGATAAGTTACGTCGACCTTGTAAATAAGCTCGCAAGTCGTCGAAAAAGAATAGGCTCTCTTCGAATGCAGTCGTTGGTTTGTTATAATCAACAGTTGTTGTTAGTAGTTTTTTGCCACTAGAACCACCTTTCTTCCCTTTATGTGATTGTGTGGATTTCTCGACAACAGTCACCAATGTTGTTGATGGAGTTTCAGTCGATGTCATCGATTTCGAGAATAATTCCTGATCCTGTGGTGATTGTTTAGCGATATATGCCTTGATTTTAGATTCCTGAGCTTTGGAAAGATTTCCGTGACCTTGCAGGTAAGACCGTAATTCTTCTCTGGTGATGGTTAATCCCTCCGCATCTATAGATGAATTGAGACGGTATGCGTCGATTGAAGGAAGTCGTTCCAAGAGATCATTCACAGATCTGTCGTCACCGTGAGTGTACCCATTCAGTTTAGGGTCAAGTTGACTTATGGAGTAGTGAGAAGATATGTTTTGAATTGTAGACGATTGATTAGCTAGATACTCTTTGATTTCGTCTAATTTCGTCGAAGATAAGTTTCCATGTCCCTCCAGAAATGATAGTAAGTCATCACCTGTAAATGTATGCTTTCTCTCGGCATCACTTGACCGATTTAAATGTTCAACGATTGCAGCAATTACTTCATTCGAGTACTTTCCCTTCTCTATTCCATCAACAATCGCTTCAACGTCTCCATCCTCACTCGCTGTTCTGCTTCTACTTGTCGTCACATATTGCCAAGACTTTGTTTCGTCGACTGCTGTTTCCTTTGCCAGATACATTTCGATCTGTGCTTCTTGATCTTTCGATAGATTACTTCGACCTTGCAGATACAATCGAAGATCTTCTCTGCTGATCGTCACTTGCTCTGGATCGCTCAGTGGAATCTTCGCTAGGAACTCGTCTAGTTTCTCATCATCGTCGATGTTCAGTGGAGTTACGATAGTGGACGGTCGTGGCGTTGTCATTGATTGTACGTATTGAGAGATGATGTTTTGTAGTGGTGACGAGTGCTCGGCGAGATATTCTTTGATCTTGTGTTGTTGATCGATAGAGAGATTAGTGTGTCCCTGAATGTACGATTGTAGGTCGTTGATGGTGAAGGAAGTGTTGAGAGTGTGATTGAGATGCTGAAGAATGGCCGAGAGGAGTTTTGAATGTGTATGATGAGTTGAGGAAAGATTAGTTTGTAGTTGTAGGATGGAGTTGATGTCTAAAATGGGCGTCGAGGTAGTGGTAGCGAGATAATTTGAAAATAATGCCCGATCAGATGGTGGTAGTTTCGAAATGTAGTTTTCGATTTGCGTCTCCTGAGCTTTGGAGAGATTTCCGCGTCCTTGCAAATAGGATCGTAGATCATCTTTGAAGATTAATTTTTCTTCATCGCTAGTGCGATTGAGGTATAGAGAATCACCTACTTGAATCTTATCGAGAAGGTCTTGTAATTTTGCGCCATCAAGCGTTGAACTGCTGCTAGGCGATATGTCCGTAGTGGAGTATTGTGAAAACATTTGTTGATGGGAGTTGAATTGTTCAGATAAATAGATCTGAATTTGTGCTTGTTTTTCTGCCGATATATTTGCTTGTCCTTGTACATAGGATCGTAAATCTTCAACACTGAACGATTTTCCGTCTGTCGAGTTTGTCTGATTGTAGTTTTCAAATAGCATGGGTAAAATTTTTTGTGCATATTCTTCATTTTGTATAAGATCAGTAAGCGATTTATTCGTTCCCCTTTGAAAGAATTCTCCGATGTTGATACCGGGAGTTAAAAGTATTCTTGGTTTTGAAGTAGTGGTTGTTAAATATTTCGAAAGTATATTTTGATCGGATGATGAAAGTTTAGCCAGATATGCTTCTATATGGGCTTTTTGCGCTTTTGATAAATTTTCTCTCCCCTGTAAATATGTACGTATATCATCTTTTGAAATAAGAACTTGTTCGGAATCGTTAGAGTAGTTGACAGAATGTGCATCGATTTCTGGTAATGTATTTATCAAATCTTGTAACTTAACTTCTTCTTCACGTTGTTTATCATCCGACAGTGATGCCTCCGTTGAAATAAGCACACTGATTGAGGATCGCGAAATCGGAGTGGAGCTCGACGTTGTTTGTTTGGCCAGATAGTCTTCAATCTGCTTTTGTTGAACTACTGATATGTTTCTCTGACCCTGAATGTAGGCATTTAACTCAGCAGCGGTAAACGGCATGTTTTCTAAACCGGATGTCTGATTTTGCGCATGAATATATTGTTGATAAACGTTTGGCTTTGACGTCGATGATGATTTTACAGTTGACATGGTAGTTAACTTTTTGGAAAAAAGATTTCGATTCGCTAATAATCTTTGAGTCAAATACGCGTCGATTTGTGCCTGTTGAATGTCTGATAAGTTTTTTTCCCCTTCTAAATATGACCGAAGGTCTTCCTTTGCAATGAGTACCTGCTCTGATCCGGTAGTAATGTTGAAATAATCAGAGCCAGCGGATGGTATTTTCTTAAGTAGATCATCAAGGGTGACACCTTCTTCCGATGAATATACTGTACTTGATAATTGAGTACTTGTGGAATGGTTGGGCAGTAATAGTTTGTTGATGGACGTTGGTTGTTTAGTAAGAAAGTCTTCGATTTGTGATTGTTGAGCTGCTGATAAATTGCTGTTTTCTTGAAGGTATTTGTGGATGTCATCTAAAGTGAATGACCTGTTTTCTGCAGCGATTATATGATTCAGCTTCTCAAGGATAGATGGTGGTATTTCTCCGACTTTATCCATGTCCTTTGCATTTTTGCTACTAACTGTCGTTGTTCTTGGTTGTTTTGTTGTACTGGTGAGGAATTTCATAAATGTTTCTTTATCAGCTGGTGATTCATTAATTAGGTATGCTTGAATTTGAGTTTGTTGTTCTTTTGATAAGTTGCCTCGACCTTCAATGAATGACAGCAAGTCATCTTTGGAGATCAACTGTCCTTCAGAGCCAGTGAAAATATTATAATAATCAGAATCAGTTTGTGGAATCTTCCTTAAAAAATCTTTGAACTTTTCTTCTTCACTATGATCATCAACTGGTTCGCGCGCACGAGATACTTGAGTCGTTGTGGAGTAATTAGATGAGCTACTCTCACTGCCGCTTGGTAGAGATATTTCTGAATCTATATCATCATCCGTATCGATCGTAGAAGACTGATTTCTTTCTTGAGGTGTTTCCTGTGGTTTTTGAGTAGATGTAAAATACTTGGAGAATAGTGCGCGATTTGTTGCAGACAATTCATGTAAATACGTCTCGATTTGGGCTTCTTGAGCTTTCGACAGATTTCCATGACCTTTCAAATATGATCGCATATCGTCTTTTGAAATCGTTATCGAATCGAAGTCTGTAGAAGTGTTAAAAACATTTGAGCTGATGTCAACTACTTTCTCCAAGAAATCTTCTAATTCTGCATCACTAGTTATTGTAGCAATAGTTGGTGAATCTGTTAGATCCTTGGTATATTGGGATATAAGATTTTGAAGAGGAGATCGATTGTTATCAAGATACTCCTTGATCTGTTCTTCTTGAGCTGATGATAAATTCTTGTCGTCTTGTAGATACGATTGCAGATCATGAATGGTAAATGGAATCTTCTTTTCTGCACCAATTGACCGATTTAAATGTTCAACGATTGCAGCAATTACTTCATTCGAGTACTTTCCCTTCTCTAATCCATCAACAATCGCTGTTCTGCTACTACTTGTCGTCATATACTGCCAAGACTTTGTTTCGTCGACTGCTGTTTCCTTTGCCAGATACATTTCGATCTGTGCTTCTTGATCTTTCGATAGATTACTTCGACCTTGCAGATACAATCGAAGATCTTCTCTGCTGATCGTCACTTGCTCTGGATCGCTCAGTGGAATCTTCGCTAGGAACTCGTCTAGTTTCTCATCATCGTCGATGTTCAGTGGAGTTACGATAGTGGACGGTCGTGGCGTTGTCATTGATTGTACGTATTGAGAGATGATGTTTTGTAGTGGTGACGAGTGCTCGGCGAGATATTCTTTGATCTTGTGTTGTTGATCGATAGAGAGATTAGTGTGTCCCTGAATGTACGATTGTAGGTCGTTGATGGTGAAGGAAGTGTTGAGAGTGTGATTGAGATGCTGAAGAATGGCCGAGAGGAGTTTTGAATGTGTATGATGAGTTGAGGAAAGATTAGTTTGTGGTTGTAGGATAGAGTTGATGTCTAAAATGGGTGTCGAGGTAGTGGTAGCGAGATAATTTGAAAATAATGCCTGATCAGATGGGGATTGTCTTCCTAAATATGTTTTGAGATAATCTTGCTGACTTTGAGACAGATTACTTTGTCCTTGCAGATAGGAACGTAACTCCTCTTTTGAAATTGATATTTCTTCAATAGAACTGGAAGAATTGCCAGAGTGAGAGTCAGTGGATGATATTCGGTTTAACAAATCTTCTAATTCATTATCTTCATGCTTGTTGCTATCATCGAGAGATTCTTGCACGGCTACAGTGGTAGATAATGGAACTGTACTAGTTGAGTCTACAGAAGGTAAACTTTGAATTTCAGATAATTCTCTGCTCAAATATTCTTTGATAATTTCCTGTTGAAATTCAGACAGATTTCCTTTTCCCTGTAGATACGAACGTAAATCGTCAATTGTAATTGAGGATGTTCGAGCTTCAATGGAATCATTGAAGTGTTCAAGTAGTACTGGAAGTAATTCCGCATCGATTAACGGTTCATGGTCTTGTCTTTCAGTTACGAAGTCAGAATTCGTACGAATTGTTGTCGAAATATCACCAGGTACCGTTGCTGGCAAATATTCTGTCGACTTGCGTCGCTCAGTAAGCCGTTGTAGAGCTAAGTATGCTTCGACTTGTTTTTGTTGATCTTTTGGTAAGTTTCCTATGCCTTCGAAAAATAATCGAAGATCATTCTTTGCGATCAGTACCTGCTCCGATCCTACAGTGATGTTAAAATGCTCAGTATCTGCTTCCGGTATGTTCTCGAGTATATCATCTACACTAGGCTTTTCCTCTGGATTTTCTTCTTCGACGTTGTCTGAATCGGTGCTGTCACTAGGTACAAATGTTGTAGTTAACAATGTTGATGTTGTTGTCGTCGTTGTTGAATGTTTAGTAAAAAGACTTCTGTCAAGAGATGGTTGCTTGGCAAGATATCGTTCAATCTGTATTTGCTGAGCATCGGAGAGATTAGCATGCCCTTCGAGATAACCTTGTAAGTCGTTGGCATTGAACCAGCCATCATCAGTATCGTTCGTGCGATTGCTCTGTTCAAAATCCATAGATATTTCTTCTTTCGGACGCTGATTATCGTGTTCATCTTTACTTGTAAAATCCTCTAGTGGTAATTGATTCTCCGATACTTCTTGTATTTCAGACGATGATGCAATAGTAGTGGTAGCAATTGTTGCTGTTGTTATATACTTGGTGAGTAGATGTTGATCAGAAGAGTTCTGTGTGGCAACGTAAGCATGGAACTGTGCTTGTTGTTCTTTCGATAACATTCCTTCACCGTATATATAAGATCGAAGGTCATCTTTGGAAATTAATATTTCTTCCGAATCAGTAGACAAATTGTAATATTCAGAATCAGTTTGTGGTATCTTTTTCAATAGTTCTTCGAGTTGTACGTCTTCACTAAGTTCGATATTACTCGGAAGGGTTGTAGATGATAAGTCAGCTAATGTTGAATCATCAGATAATTGATTTAGAACAGTTAAATTTTGCATAGCTAAGAACGCTTTAATATATCCTTGTTTTTCTAATGTAAACTCTCTGTTTCCTTCTAAATAAGTCTGCAACTCATCATAGGAAAATAAATTCTCTTCCATGGCTTCTGTTTGATTGAATCGATCCAATATAAGGGACATCATATCTTGAGAATATTCTTTTCCTGGTTCATCTTTAGGTAATAAATAGTTGCCATTGAGAGGAGGTATGGTGGGACTGATCGTGCTAGTGATGTATTTGGATGCAAGATACGGATCTGATGATATTCGTTGAACAAGATAAGCTTCTATTTGGATTCTTTGATCTTCGGTAAGATTTGTTCGATATTTGAAGTAGATTTTCAAGTCATCAGTGGAAGGTACCGATTCGAGAATATTGTCCGTATTGTTAACAGATGCCAAATCCGATATTGGATGGTTCAATAAATAATCTAGTAATGATTGATCATCGCGAAATGATGAGCTTTTGTCAATATCAGAATTTGTAGAAGCATTCGTATGCTGTAATCGAGACTGATGCGAACGACTTTTTGTATCGGAATCGCTAGATATGCCATTCGGATCAGCTAATGAACCATTGTATTGAAGACCAGGAGAGAAATTCGGATTAGAATATGTATCTTGTGGTAAACGAGTTTCTGTTCCATTTTCGTGATTTAGCCATGCATCATCAAAATCATTATAATCAGGTCGCAAAAGCTCATCGTTTTCGAGACCGTCTTCATGATCGATAAGATGAAATGGATCAGATTGTGATTCATCATCGTCTGGCATTTGCATTGATGCATTTCCTTGATCAATTGTACTATTCAGTTCCACTGCTTTCAATCTTCTCTTTCGAAACAATCCGAACGGTTTTCTCGGTGTAGAAAAAAACTGTGTGTACGCTCTTGTCATATTTGTCATAGACAGTAACGAATACGACAACGGCCAAAGTGTTGGTAAATAAACACTATCGATTGCGGTAATATTGACCAGCGGTGTTTCCTCCATATTGATGACTATAGAGAACAACAAAGGGAAGGATAGTGGCGGTCAAAGCAGGTTATGATGTGCAGTACAAAAATCAAAACAACAATCAAAGCAAACAAAGAAGTTTGATGATTCCTACCAGGATGACGCGTTGGAGGCAGATTTTTCTCTGGCTCTAAAGAACAAATTGAACAGTGATACACATCGTGTTAGTCAGTTTAACCTACCAGTAAAATATAAGAAGTTAAACATCCAGTACGGTTGAGTCTTTTTTGCATTTTTGTTGATTGTTGCGTAAACATACGTCGTTGCATTAATTCTTTCAAGTGTTATTGGTAAATCTGATGCTTTAGAAAAAACGCTTCGTATTGTTGCAGATTCTTGTGTATACATGATCAATATCATAGAACGTGTCGCAATGTATCTAATGAATACATCGAAAAATCAATCCAAGTTTACAGATCGTTTTACATACAAATGATGACACTCGTCGGCGATTAAACCAAACGGAGATTTAATCGCTTTGCCTTTGGTGACATTGCCATAAGTCAAACGAAAATCATTGGTTATGCGTAATTCATAAATTAAATGTTCTTGTTTGCTGGCATAATAAATCGAATTCGACGAAGATAAGACAACGCTGCCTTCATTCAATGTTTCATTTAAAACCAATGGTTCGCTCAACAAAATACCGGTTTTAGTATCGAAAATACTGTAGATCAAGCCAATTTCTGCGGAGATGAATACTAGAGACTTATTCGTTCCTGCATGATCGCGTTTTATAGTAAAACCGTAAACGCGTAAGTTCGGTTGATCATATTGCAGTGTAATTGGTTGAATACAATAGTTTTGAGTGAAATCTCGCCGGTCAATATCAAATCGTACTTGACACACACGTAAAGCGATGATATTTGTTGAGGAATGATTTGCGTAGATAAAAAAAAGTTCATGAGGAGATTCAGAAATCAATGAAGTACATGATGTAGCAATGATTACATCTATTGTACTGATAGTAACAATGAGTTGAACATGTTGAGCGTCATAGATATGAATCTGATGTTTAGGTTCAATGAACAATAGAAAATCATCGATAGAAGAATAAGCGAGGAAATTTTGAGCATAGAGGCGAGGCACATAAGTTATATTTGAAGAGATTTGAGATGTTTGGTATTTACCAAAAGAAAGCATTGACTGAAGCTAGATGAACACAACAAAGAACTTTTAGTCTTTTTGCAAAACATCATTAATTTTCTCTGATCATGATTGTTAGTCTTGGAAAATATTTGATCAAATTTCATGAAAATAACTAAGTTCTTTTCAGTACAAGGTATATGATTAATAGCAATCGACTTGAGGGAGCTCTCAGGTGAACAACATGCGAATGAAAGACTGATGATTGATTAATTGCAATATATACACCTTACTATGTGAGATATTAAAAGTGTCTCTAAAGACTTGCAAGTTGCTACGAAATGAGCTTTTTTTTGTTTTTGAAACTGTAAATGGAATTCACTTGATCATCAACAATCTTACCTTAGAACAGATCTGAGGAATAGCTGCTGGATTTGCCCATTGAATACTATCTAAATGTTGAAATCACATTTAAATTCGCTCTGCTCGGAAATTTTAACAAACATTCTTACCAACAAGAAGAATAAATTGAACAAAGAAAAGTATCCAGCAGCAACTGATCATTCTTTTGTATTGAAACCCGCCAATATCATTGACATACATTTCGAAGGTTAACAGCCGAACGTCGTGCTAACGTGCAATATCACGTGTCTAAACACACATCTGAGCATTCTTCTTCTCTTCTAAAATCACTTTCTATGAGTAAGGAGAAAAGATGTTGTTTTTTTGTGCGTAGGAAAATCTAGTGCTGGATATTCTCTTGTCGGTAGTGATTTCTGACAGAAGGAAACGATAGAAACAAGCGATTACTTAACAAAATTAAAGTTAAGTACGACGAGAGTCAAATGTTATTGTCGTTATCGTCTCTGGAGAAAGAATACTGACGATATGAGAAGAAAGCGGAATACGGAAAATAAGAGAGAAGAAAAGCCTAGAGCACGGTTCGATAGAGAAAGAGAAATCGTCTGATTAGTTGGCTGATTTTACAATGAAACGTGATGGTTTTAATATTCAACCAAGGATGTATCGATTCTCCATGGATTTTATATCCAAAATTTGATCAGGTTAAACACGAATGCATTTATCCACCTCGGAATTGCTCGAGATGAAAAATATACTTTGCTTTTATGGTCGCTATGGTCAATTGAGGATAGTAGGAGTTGTATAAGTTCAAATAAGATCGGTCTTAATATTTCCTGGACGAAAATGATTTTACGTAAATCTAATCACATTTGACAAATGCTTTTTGTTTGATGAATAAAGTATGAGATGATTCATTGAAAATTTACAAATGCAAGCAGAGAACTAAATATAGTCAGTTTTAACGAGTGAAAATATGTTATGAAAGGAAAAGAAAAGTCAATCAAGTTCTTTTCTTTTACAGTGCATTCTATCGACACAATAAAATTACTCTCATCTGAAATTTTTCTACTCTCAAATAGTCAAACACGTTTATCAATGAAAACGATGCTTTCGAAATTTTTGGCGCCAATAGCGAGCAAAGAGAATCGTTGGTGTTAAATTGTCATATGATCGAAAGTTCAATGATGATAGGTATCTTTCAGTGAGATTCTCCCATCTATCCAAAACAACAGCAGGAAGTTGTTTAAATAACGAATCAACTCCTGATCGAACAACGACCGGTGCAGCTCCCATGAGCAAAGCTTCCCATGTTCGATGACAATCGTACCCATTCCCTGGTGGTGATAGAACAAATTTTGCGTTACCGAGGTGTTCCAAAAAGGTTTCGAAAGAAATGCGTTCGTTAATTATTTGAACGTTTTTAAAGATCTTTGCTCGGCCAAGAGCATTGGGACGATCATATCGATTGGTGAAAGGCGAAAAATTGACGTACAACAAAGTTGATCGATTATGCCAAGGTTTTCGATATTTTTCAGCTGCGTGTAGCAACATAGAAATATTTCCTCTTGGCCAATGTGCATTGGGGAACCCAATCGGTACGGGATAGAGCTTAGGAAAAGTTATCGAGGGATTCGTTGCATACCATGCTAGAATGCGTTTGTCGTTTAAACGAAGTCGATGTTCTCCTGGCGCTGGACTATCAGTATTGTGAGAAACGAGAACAAATGGTGTATCGATGTTTTTAAACGGCCCATGGAAAAATCTGAAAAACATGTCGCCCTTGACGAAAACTACGTCACCGTAGTGCATCGATTCGAATTTGTCTTGTCGTAGTTCATCGAAAACATGGTCGGCGATGGCACGAAATGTATCACCACTGATCAACGGATAAGATGAATTACGGTTAGATTTGACATTTCGATAGTATAGTTTCTGGAGATCTTTCATTTCTTCATGAAGAATAACACGAAGGGGCAACGCAGCGTACGAAGTGATATCGAAATCGGTGTTTGGGGGCAAATTTTCCGAGTCGAGAAAGTACGCGTATGAATAACAAATAAATAATATGAGACTGATAATACAAATGTTTCGAGACAAAGTTCCAGTTCGATAGGATGATACAATGTTTTTTATTGATGCTGATATTCTGGTACGAATAGAATCCATTTGATCGCTAAGTAAATCTATCAATTGAGGGAATTAGGACATATATAAATACATAATCTTGCCATATTCATTTTACAATAAAGTAAGAAGAAGAATTAATGGTTTTAGATGTGTAAAATACTTACCACGTTTTCATCGAGTGAATTCTTTCGCTTGTATGTAAATAAACGAAAACGAACGAACGTTTTACTTCTCTTCTTAAAGTAAACAAAACGTTCTCATTCATCTACATATTCATGTTTCTACCAGCAAGGATTGTCATACTGACTTTTGCATTTATAACAGTGAAATTTGGTTAATTTCTCCGTCCGAAAATGTTAATAACAACAACGCCAATACTTTTTTCAAACTTATTATGTATGTCCTATGGTAAATGTAACTTAATTGTTGATCTATTTTGTCCGATTAATATAACACATACACACACACACACATACCAGAATACAAACTTATTCACAAAATGGAAGACATGATTACCGGACGTATTAAGAGCTAATGTACACGAATTCACGTTTTAGTTTACAATGATAAAAGAATGAGAACTCAGAAGAGAAAATACATATAAATATTATTATCCGACTAAACAAAGTTCATGTTAATTTCAACCTCTTGGCAGATGGTTGAGATATTGCTGGTATGATTTGAACGAAATCTTTGTCGTCATCATCATCTGTTAAGTCGATGATGGGTTGTGTTTGTAACACTTGTAGTTTTTGGGACAAAATTGGTACAGGTGGAGTCGATTTCGATTGTTGTGTTGAAGACTTGCTTTTGAACTTTTTGTTTTCCTTTCTTTCAGACACAGGTGTCACGTCTTGTGTTGGAATTTGTGATGGTGGTGGCATTGGTATCGGTCGTTGGGCCATGAATTTTTCGAAAGTTTTTGTTATTGCTGGTTTTAATTGATTTTCATTGACGGGTTTGCTGTCGTTATTATCTTCATCATCACTTATGTCAAGTATTTTCCATTGTCGATAGGTGACTGTCGCTTCATCAACCTTCTTAGGTACATCTGAAACAGATGATGAAACTATTTTTATTCGAAAAAAGAAAATGATGTCACAATTCACCTGTCAAAGGTGGAACTATAGAACTAATTCGTCGTTGTTCATCATCGTCATCGCCGAAGCTCTTTTCTTTTTGTTGTTCGTTTTCCGTTGTCGTTATTTCATCGGATAATTTCATTTCACTAGCAAATTTTTCCAGTCCACTCATTGTTTCATCATAATTTCGGGAAATAAATAGACGCTGTTTAATCCAAAGAGATATTTTGTTATTAAAATGTCGATCATTCACATTATTAACAATTCTTTCATCAACAATCTAAAACAAATCACGCTGGAATTTATTGAGTGGAAAACAATTAAATTGTCATACGATTAATGCTCCCCAATCATTTTTATGTCGAATGCATCGTCCAAGTGCTTGGTTCAACGCGCGGTATGCTTGTGAATCATACTAAAAATAGATTTTTTTTTAAATATAAAATATCCCTTCTTTGTCAGTCAGTCGAACAAACCCAATCACTTCCATTCATTATCTGTGGTATACGTTTATTTTGTTCATTGTTATAATTCCGTTTGAATACAACTTCTTCATCTTGCACATTCGGATACGGGATACCAAGTGTAATGACGCAACGAGCATTATTATCCGAAAAGTCAATACCTTCAGATGCACGACCACGACAAACAGCTAACAGAAGACCACCTTTAACTGAAAAATACCGTGAATTCGTTGTCGTGATCTCAGGTGGCGTAGCTTTTCGTTTGAACATGGCATTAACTCGCTTAGCAGTTGCCGATAGTGGTTTAACGAATTTCATCGTGCCATTTGCTTCACGAAATCTATCTGCAAAAGAATAAGACCAATCAAATTTCTTCTCCAAGCGCTTCTCAATCAGTGTCAAGTTCTTACCAATTGTATTTTGGAAGTTTGCACTACTTTTTTCTTCGAAAAAGACTGCCTTATGTTCATTCAGTTTTTGCCAAAGACCGCTCGACATCCAACGATTCATAATTACATTAAGAAATCGGTAGGATGGTACAAAACAAAGAATGCCGTATGGAACACGTTGGCATATATCTAACAGAACCAGTCCACACTCATCCTAGATGATAGATTTATTTACCATATGTTTGAAAACTACATTTACCTGAAATTCCAACTTATCGGTATTCTGATACGTTGCACGAAGTTTGACATTTGGATTTCGTCCATGACTTAGCGCTGTGATGAATGTACGTTGAATATCGATGACATGATTACATTCTAGATGAATTTCGCATACGAGATATCACGTAATGAGTAATACTTGTGTTTTTACCTAGTTGCACATCGAATGGTAGTCTTAATTCACCGGAATATGTTGCCAAAGGTGCAAGTGTACCGGAAGCAAAGATTAAACTTAAAAAAATACAGTTTCTCTCCTTAGAAGATAAAACTGGAAATCTTACGATCGAGCCAGTTTAAGGTCTTTGGCAAATGCAACACTTGGTGATAGACAATAGAAAACTAGCTGTTGAGTATGAAGTGGATATGTTGCTCGAGCTACTGTATGCTGATATCGTCTCCATTGACTCGATTTTTGGCTTGCGTCAGCCCATTCATTGGATGTATCCATCGAGTCATCTACAGATTGTTGCATTTGAGATACAACATTAGCACTTGGCTCAAACGGAATGGTTTTCAACGCAATTTTATAATCATCGACAAATTGATAATCATCAGCATATAAAATTGAAAGGCAGCTACAATAAGAAGATTTGTACAGAGATTTTGAGCAAAATATCGACTCTTACAGATCGAGATCTTCGAAGAACTTTCCAGTTTCATCGGAAAACTTGATATAATCCGGCGCATTGAGAAAACACTTCGCTATAGCTTTTCGTATTTTGCCAGCATCTTGAATGGTGCTACGTTTGCTTGCTGGATGAGTTTTTCTAGAATATTATACGAAACATCAATCCGATTTGGTCTTCCTACACGCGTTTCACGTACGTTGCTGATTTGTGAACATCAACAATTGATTTATCGATGAATTTAGCTTGATGTAATTGATCGATAAGTTCTTTCGGTGTGTAAACATAATTCTCACGTGGATTTTTCGTGTCGAACCAAAGAATCATACGCGAAAATCGCTCGGCAAGAAATTTCATCGCATTCGCTATTTCCTGATCGTCAGAACTCAATTGTTGAACAGAATCAGGCACAGCCTGTTCTTGGATATTTCCCAATTGATCGATATTCAGATGTTCAAGTAGATCAGGTTCTTCGTTTAATTGGTCGTATTCGGAAAAGCCAGGTATTCGACGTGCGGATTGCTGTTGGTTAGCTGTTAACTGTGTGGAAGATATCGGATTTTGTGTGGAAGAAAAGCCTGTTTCGTCGATAATCAATTGAGCAGCTTCAATATGGGCCATTTCCAATGCTTTCTGGTTCATTTGCATTTCATTCAATGCTGCTTCGAAATCATATTTCTTCAAGTCGAATTTCATCGATTCACGAGCGCAATCTTCGATATTATGTGCTACAAATCGTAAGTTATAAATCAAATATCTCTCATGACTATCTTTTCGTACCTTCATCGATTATTATCACAGCATTATTAACGGACAATTGCATCGAATTTCGCACACGTGGATCAATAAGATAATTATATGGACAAAGTATAATTTGTACATCATTGATCAATAATCGACTTGTATAATAGGGGCAAACACCGTGCGATGTTTGACAATATTCAGTAAACTGTTCAATGTCGAAAACACGTGGTAAATGCTTCGAGCCACCTAGTCGAAAGAAATCGCCGGGCATTTTGCCTTTCAATCGTTCGTAATAGCCACATTCGCTTTTGAAACCTTGCTGACCGAACTTATTGAGGTCCCGTCGAGTTATTTTCGCACATTCGTGATTTTTATTTGGTCCTTTCGAAACTACTGGATGTACACAATAATTATCACGTGAAGATAGCAATGTCATTCGAATTTTGTCTTTATATATAGTATTACCGAGCTGTTTGGCGACTTGCTCGAGTTGTTTATGTGTACGTGTGCAATAAAATATACGAGATATGGGTTGTGGTTTGATCGCAGTTGTCGCTGATGGATCTGCTGTCGAATCATTTGATTCGGTTAAAGATGATTGGCGAAGTTGTTCGATTTCTTTTTGTTGCCAGGCAAGAGCAGCACATAGTAGAGTAAGAGTTTTTCCAGTACCAGTTGGTGATTCAAGGAGACAGTTTTTTGATTGTTGCAATGCTTTGATAATTCGGCCAAGCATGGCTATTTGACATGGATAGGGTTTATATGGAAAGTCCACCGTTACACCTACAAGCAATACAAATTCCATTATCTTCGAATCTGTTTCAAATCATCAATCTTGACTGATACAATATTTATGTGAGCGTACGTTGAATTCTCAAACTGATTTTAGAATCACGAAATTACCTGACATAAGCATTGTTTCCGGTGTCATACTGTTCGCCATGATTTATTCAACACTTCGATCAAATTATCATCTGGAAATATCCATCTAGCATTGACATTTATAGGTTCTTTTCATACAAACTATACACATTTATATGTATATGACTAGTTTCATACAAATAAAAGTCGTTTAGGATAGTATAAGACGAAATATACAGTTAAAAAGACGACAGAATCAAAAACAGACAATGAATTAGACAAACATTTATGCTTTGGTGCGAAAACATAAAACGAGATCGCCACCTCCTTTCCACATGAAATGTTTCACAGTTCGTAGATCCATTGTCAAATCCAGAACCTGAAAAGACAATCAATGCCATTCATCAGAACGACAAACACGTCGAGAGTTCTCTTACTTGATCTTGACATAACAGTTCAATAAGATCAACGCTTTTACTAATATCCGATTCACGCTGTTGTTCAGTATCTCCATCATGTTGATCTACAAGAACAGAAATGAAGTCATATAGCACAATCAAGAGGATATCAACTTGATCCATTTCCGGTTGTGGCTATAGCGGCATTTTGCTGCTGTTGTTGTTGTTGTTGTTGTTGATGCTGCTGCTGCTGTTGCTGCTGCTGTTGTTCATTGAGAACATAGCGTTCGTAAATATATTCAATCACTTTTCGTACGATCATCATATCGCTTGCAGATAAACGATCTCTGAAATATGAAGAAGAGTTTCATAGGAAAAAGATCAAGTTAATAACGAACTTTTTGTTATATTTCGTAGCACTGATTTGATGATGAAGAATGAACGGAATTTTGGTCAGAGGAGGAATTTGATGCTGGATGAAGACAAATGTTCGAAAACGTTAGAATTCTAATGGTCAACTTACTTTGATGATTACGTTGGTGATGAATTGTGGTAAAACTTCATAGAGAAAACTTTGCTCGGGCTCACCACCCGCTTCACTACATCGAAAACGATAAAGTGTTCGACCACCAATTTCGCTGTTAGGAAATAGTACACAAATTTACTATGCTTTCATTCAAGTGACACAATTACCCAACAAAGATCGGTGTATGTCCAGGTAAATGACAAAGATTATCGAGATGAATTCGTTCTGCATAGCCATCATTCGTTTCTAAACAGCAATATCCAATCAAACCATTGAGCATTGAGATGAAAACGAAGTTATTATACCTAATGCTTGTTTGGTCACTGGCCAATGTTCGAATAATGAATGCAGCATCAGCACACCGTAGTTTTCTGAATGAAGAACAAATCGAATCTATTCATATCTTGTTCATCTTCGTCTTTTACCTTTCAAATCAATAATTTCACTACTACTACCACCAGCTAATCCATTATCGACGGGTTCTTTTACAGCGATCCAAGCTGCAAATACATCACTTTCTTCGAGTGTTATGGTTAGAATCTAATTTAAATACGAGAATGATTTCCAGTCGTACAAGTACTATCAATATACTTACGCCAACTTTGAGATCAACACTGAACCAGTTGGGCACAAAAATTGTTTTTGTTCGCTTTCGTATCTCTTCTTCATAATCGCATTTTCCGAGATTTTCGGTCATTCGAGCCTACGAAATCACATGCATTCTCTCAATATTTTTCTTTTCTAAAAAGATACTTGTAACACGTCGTAGATCGCAACATTGCTATTCGAATCTTTTGTGACAATATGACATTTATCTGATAATATATGATAGTGTTTCAATGCTGGTCCGCCTTGAATGATCATATCTGGCTGTTTACAGATCACTTCGCTATCGTCGTAATTCGTACGTGTTAATGCGGTTAAACTATCTTTTAAGTTCTAATGTAAAAGCAGATGAGATTTTATCAAGAATAGTATTAATCGAAATGATAAGATACCCAACAACGTATATTGGATTCAGTGGTTGAAACCCATAATTGTTGCTGTTCTTTGCCGAGCTCAACCTAGAAATAAGTTCAGAACTCTAGTCAGAAGCGATTATTGTCATAAACTTGCTCGAAGAACAGGTTCTGCTTCTTGACAAACGCAGATACTTCTCGATGGCTCCGTTAGATCTGTAAGATACACTTTTCTGTCACGGCCGCTTGAATACAACCGAGTAAATGCTTCGTTGACCTGGAATAGATGAATATATTTCTCTGTAGAGAGAGAAAAATTATCAAAGTTCAAACGTACACATAATGTCCAAACAGCATCGGAATGGATCTGAAGTTTACTAATACATCGTTGTTGCCCAAGAGACCAAATACGAATTGAATGATCCGAACTAGCTGAGATACACTAGAAACCGAATAAACATACAGATTTTCAACATTGACAGATGATATTTTACTTGAGTTCCATCTCGATTTAAAACTAATGCACGAATATTATCTGTATGTCCTTTTAATTTCATTAACAAAGCACATGTTCTTGGATCGTAAACACGTATCTAATCCGTCGATGAAACAGAAAGTGAATGTTATCTTTTCGAAGGAAACACACGATTCCTACGTACCACATTTTCTGGTGAACCACTAACTAAAACTGTACCAGACGGATTCATTGCTAGACTATATACCGAATGTTCATTGCCAGTGAATGTTGAAGCTAAGAAATGAATGTCTGATGTTATACGAATACCTGCCCAACAAGAAAGACTTTACTTGTTACTGTATTATTCACAGCAGTTAAAGCGGTTAGTACATTAATATCCCATAAGAAGATATTGTTGTCGAAACCACCGCTGGCCACTTGCTCTTTATCTTTAGCATATGCTAAACATTTGACGAAATCCTTTGAATAAAAGAGTACGATTTACAGAGGACAAATCGACTTCGTCCTTTTTTTACTTTATGCGTTCGCAATGTTGACATACAAGTTCCTTTCGGTGCATTCCATAATTTAATGGTTGCATCACTCGACGCAGAGAGAACTTAAGAAACGCAGAACATGAAAAAAAGATACAATTGAATCATCACGTACTATGTTTTCCCGAATTCACTAAAACTATATCGTTCACCCAATCAGTGTGATGTTCCATCGAATATTCGTACATATCTGACTAAAAGAAATATGTTTCAAAGCTTCGATCTCTCCATTCAAGAAACTTCAACATACACCATATCGCTTGCAATCCCATGCACGAATAATGGAGTCCCGTCCGGCGGTATAAAGACGATCATTTTTGCAGTCGTATCGAAGCGCGTTGATACCACCTCGATGCAAACGTTCGTTTTCATTTCTTATTAGAAATGACAGCTAAATAGAAGAATACACATTCAAATTCGTCAAGAGTCGAGCAAATTTACTTGGACACGTTTCTTCTGCATCGAAGAATATTGTCAGCAAACCATCTAAAACCAAAAGGACAACAATGTAATGGTGAACTCAGCTGCATTTAGAGAAAGTCACACATGTCAATCGAGTGTCTGTTTACCCGTAAATAAAACTAATAGGAAAAAGTTTGTAAATAATCTAAATAAATGAAGAGAATAAGAGTTTAGTTTGGATGCCTTTTCGGTTTGTATTTGTGTGTAGATTTATTTTCAACTTCTGATCTTTGACAATCAAAACAAAACACACAAAATAAAACAAGAAAAGTTCTTCTAGAGAAATTTATATTTTTCGTTTTCATTTTCTTCTTGTTTCATTCAGCACATGGAAACGATGAGTTTAAGCATTTCTTTGATGTGCTGCTTCTCGAGCTTTGATACGTTCAAGTCGGTTGATACGTGCTTGAGATTTGTTACCCAAAACACCACCTCCCCAATGACGACGTAATTCATCGTAACGATCGTTAAAGTTGGTCTTCACGGCTTCGATGATTTTACCTAAACCAGATTTATCCTCAGCGTTGACATCGGTTAAAGCAACTGTTGAACATGTTTTCAAGTGAACAAGACGACCAAGTCGAGCTTTGCCTTTCACAATGCAATATGGAATACCCATTTTACGGCACAATGTTGGTAAATGGAGAACGAGTTCAATTGGTTCAACATCATGAGCAATGAGAACCTAAAATACGAAGAATTCGATCGAATGTTTGTCGAATTGGATTTTGAAAACATACTAATTGTGCTTTCTTTTTTTCGACTAAAGCAGTGACGGTATTCATTCCGCTGCGAATACCGCTTGGTCGTTTTGTTGGTCGATCTGGTTTGCCAGCCTTCGCTTGATCTTCGGCACGTTGTTTTAAACGAAGTTTCTTTTCAGCACGTGTTTCTGGACGATATTTTTCAAGTAATTTGAACAATTGGGTCGATGTTTGTTTATCGAGTGTTTGTGTAAATTGATTGATTGGTGGTGGAACTTTCAAACGTTTAAGTAAAACGCTGCGTTGACGTTGGACACGGACGTATTGTGGCCATTTAACGAAACGTGTTAAATCACGTTTGGGTTGAATGTCTATTTGCATGAAGTTGAAATCGATCGACGAAAAGAAATGATCTTACCTTGACCAATACCAAAGTTCTTCGCTCGTTTTTCGTATAAAGGATTGACAAGTTTTTTGCTTTCAACTTTCGATTTTAATGGTGCAGCGGCTATTTTCTTTTTGCCTTTTTTCAATGCACCACTTGATGTTTTACCCGATGTTTTCGACGTTGTTGATGTCGTCGTCTTCTTGGTACTACCTGTTGCTGGAGGCATGATAATGATTGAAGATAATTGAACAATTCAATCTAAAATGTAAACGTACAGAATAGATTACATCTGCAGAGCAAAAGAAAAACGATCATATAATCACTATATTTGAAAGAAACTCCGCGACAAAAAAAAATACATGGAAAATTGAATTTATAATCACAAAAGTGTAAAAACTTGACCACAAGATCGGATAAAAGTTGACTGAATATGACTTTAATTATTCTTCTTCGTGACGGTTATTGATTGATTTTTGTATTGATATTTTTTATTCAATTGATCGAAATATTCGTAATCAAGTTTGCCAACAGCTTGTTTGGAATTATGTGACATCCATTCCTCTATTTCTTCACAGGTACGTGGCACTAAGGTTAACAGTTCACAACCATCACTTGTTACTGCTATATCATCTTCAATGCGAACACCAGCGACGTGCAGATATTTATCGATTTCATTCTTGTTTAGAAACTTTTTTAACTTTTCGTCTTCATAAGCATTATTCAATAGACTTGGATTAAAATAAATTCCTGGTTCGATGGTAATACACATGCGTTCTTCTAAGATACGATCGGTTCGTAAAGATTTCAATCCAACCAGTGTCGAGCGACTTTGAGGATTGGGATACCCACCAACGTCATGCGTATCGATGCCTATGAAATGTCCCAGACCATGTGGCATGAAAACAGCGCATAGTCGAGCGCTCATCATTTCTTCAATATCACCCTGAACAAGACCAGCTGCTTTCAAATGTTCCAATTGTGTTCGTTCGGCTAACAAATGCATATCAACCCAAGATACACCCGGTCGAACAGCTTTCATTACTTGCCGATTAGCATCAAGTACAGCTTCGTAGATGATACGCTGCTCGTTGGTAAAACGGCCAGAAACAGGAAATGAACAGGTTATGTCTGATGCATAACAATAGTATTCTCCACCCATATCAAATAAACACATATCTTTCGATGTCAATTGTCGATCATTAGGTGCGCCAGCATGACCATAATGGAGTATTGCCGGATTATCACCCGTAGCACATATACAAGTATAACACATGTGACGCATTGCACCATAACGACCACAAAAGTATTGAAACATCGATTCGATTTCGTATTCCAGCATCCCTAGAAGAACAACGTGGTTGAGTGTTCAAATGTTTCAACACGTAATAAGCTTACCATCTTTAATGTTCAACATGACGAATTTATGCGCTTCGGAACTAATTTTATTAGCGTATCGCATCACATCTAATTCCATATCGGTCTTGAACACTCGGCATTCACTAATAATGGAATGTAAGGTTGTTTTATCAACATGGAAGTTTTCGATTCCAGGGAAATGAGCCGCTTGCGATTCTTTTCCACTGTCCGTGTTTAAACCATTCAACACGAGAATTAATTTCGATTTGCCGACAAGTTCATTAAAGGTTTTCTCCAATTCATCGACATAGTAAACACGGTCAACATGATAAATTTTCTTAAATTCATCTGGTTCTTTTATTTTACCCATCCATGCAACGTAGGCTGCAGGTAAACGTGGAATAAATAATATCGATTCACCATTTTGAACATTGATTGCACCGTAAAAATCGGGTTCGACCACGCCGAATGCCCAATGGAAGTACGATTCCTGACGAAACAATGGTTCGTGATCACTACAATAGCGCATTTCACTGGCACCGCCTTGAAGGAAAACAAATGAATCTGGTGGTAATGTTCGATGGGCACGTAATGCTTCGCATAGGCGTTGGCGATTCAACTTGAATAATTCCATCGGCACTTTGAGCGTTTGAGCACCTTTCCAAAAAAAATCTGAGCCACTGAACGTAGTCATGATTTAATCTTGTCTACGACAACTAGAGATAGATATCAAACAGCTAGAATATTAAACTTCGAAAATAAACAGACTGTTATATGAATCCATTTCCAGAATTTATCGTTTGTTGGTTTTTACTTAAAGTGTTTATTGATAGGTACGAAGAAAGAAATTGTGATCTACCTCCTTTTTTATTCTATTTCACTTTTTGCAATTATTTTTTGTTTCAAAACATCTCATTATTTGATTTAGTCAATAAATCGACAGAAAATGACTTTCGTATATCAACACGAAAGATGTCGCTAATGTATTACACATACACTGTGTTTTTAAAGATCTGAATAAAGCTATACTACTTCCAATGACCAGTGCACAAAAATTGGGTTCACTCCTAAAATCATGATTATTCGTAGGTAATACTCGTGCGATCTCTTTCCTATGTTTGATACGTGTGTATTATTTTAAACGGTAGTTGATCTAATTATACGTTATTCTCTCGTAACTGCTGTGAACACAACTTTTCCCTTGATCCGCTAAGAGAGCTTATTCATCTTGTCATACGCTTTGCAGAACTGAGCAAATTGTGAATTTGCATCGAAAACCTTGATAAAATGCAACAAACTCTTTAGAAGCAAAACATCGTGACATCATCAACACAAATATTCATATTCTCAAAAGAGAAGAAACAAACAAGTGACAATGTCATAACATTTAATTGATGTTCGATCAAATCTGCCGCTACACTTCCATTCGAATTCTCAACTTCTCTCGAATGAAGTTGACATGTTTAGTAATCAAATTTTCGTAACCCTTGTTGTTCACTTCATAATGAGTGTTAATGATCACTTAGGGAGCTAAAGTCTCTTCATTCACATTACTCAAGTGACTGAAGAGTTTAAAATCTTGACAAGAATACAATGCTCGATTCAATCGAGTTCGAACATGTAACTAAAACGTTAATGATACTTCACTCATTTCATCCTCTAAGAGTTCCTTACTGCTCTTCAAATCCGGTGAACAAAATGTAGCCTTTCAAAAACAAAATTTCTTGATTGACTACTGTCTATCAATTCTCTTCGTTATTGCTTTCAGATTTACTCCATTATCGAAAATGAATGAATCCTTTGAATATCATCAATATAGTCACGTAAGAAGCATAAAACGTGACGGAGATATTGAATCAATATCGTCTTTTCTTCCGTATGATCTCATTTGAATTTATCGGTTGTGAAAACAATGAAAATTTGACACGAAAGCGAAGTGCGGAACGCCATGAATGTTTACGCGTCCGATCATGTTGTGCTATTTGAAAATAAATTAAACAATTGTTTGTCTTATACGAAGCAATTCACACATGTGTTTTGATTTTCTAATGTAATCTATTCGCCATGATTGTTTCCTCATTGTTTTCCTTATGAAATGAAAACATTCGATGATAGTAGATTAGAATTTCGAATCTTCCTTTGCTGTTTAGACAGTGTAAACAAATAATCAATTTTCTGTTTCGTTCGAGCATGTTTAATAGAAATCTTGTTGACACTATATTATCGTCTTAGCCATTATCTCAAGGTTGATAATTGAAATCTTGATCCTTTCTTCGTATTATCATGCAAATAGAAAAAAAGGCACAGAAAAGATCATGGGATGTTTATAGATGAAGTTGACCTGAACAGAAATCGATTCATTATGCAAAGACAACACCAACTGCTATCAGTTGTACATCCCACCTTATTAGCCCGCTTGCTCAAACAGAGATACATTAATAACGATAGAAAATGACAGAGAAGATTGAGCCGTAGCAAAAGGTCATCTTATTGTTGGATATATTGCCTCCGGGATATCATGCATATACGATCGGATCAAGAAATGATCACAGAGTGGATGACAAGGAAGGAGAAGATAAATTTGCTATTTATATTGAATTACCTCGATGTGAGATATTGAATGTATCAATTTGTAAGCGAATATTGAACAGCTCGAGGGTTTTATTCAAACTAGCGTGACAATCATTTCTCTTTTTTTTGACGTTTAATTGTTTTAGTACGAATGATAGGAAAGGAAGTGATTGTCGGCTTGCCTCAAGGCATTTTCCAGCATAAATTTCAGTTTATGTATTTTACTATTTCTATCTGCATACATGCGGAATAAGATGAGATGCTAATCTGTAAGTTGTTGTTTTCAAACAATACGCACATTTAAGGAGAAGAAACGGAAAAGGATTGCTTGCATTTCTATGGCAGATCAAAGACATGCGGTGAGCAAATCCTTCATCAGAAGCCGTTCAAGTCATTCTTATTCCTGCTTGCGCACTGTTATTTCCTTTTTTTCCTTCTATGATGTCATTATTCTAAGATGAGGATAGTTAAACACAAATACACCGTCATTTGCAATTAGATACGTTCGAATAACGATGACAAATGGTCACTGACGATGACGACGACGCCATCATCTGAATAGTTCTCTATTCGTTTCGGTGTGTGAACAAACAATTCACGCTTCTGTGTTCATTTTAATCAATCGCGA